CCCCCCCGTCCCCCTGGTCTGCAAAGCAGAGCCAAGCCTCGGAGCGCGTGGGCAGCGGACAGCCCTGTCCGCTGCCCACGTGTTCCGCCGCTTTGCTTCCTCTCCCTGGTCTGCTGGAGACCAGGGAGAGGAACGGCCCCGTTCGTAACTGCGGATCCGACATAAGTCGGATCCGCGTAACTCGGGGACTGCCTGTAATTATGGATGTAGGGATAGAGGAGAAGAATGTGTGGGAAATAAATGAAGGTCAGTGTAGCTATGCAGCACAGAGGACTTGTTCTTTGCTCCTGAGGTTGTCCATGCCATCTCAAACCCCTTCCCACAAATGTCCTCCAAGATCCCAGGAAATAACCTCAGGTAGTCTCAATTGGGCAAGCCCCATGTGGCTCTTTAGCATCTCAAAATCTTCATCGAGAGATCACCAACTAGACCCATATCAGCAGCATTAGAACTTAGAGCTCTGATCTTTACTGCTCATTTCCTCTGTCTAACCTTGGGAAAGTCCTCTGTCTGCAGGAGGGTCAGGAGTGGGGATCTGCTAATTAAGAGGCTAAGAGGACTGTATCTCCAAGATCTACTCTTGTCTAAGCAGCTTCAAACAACCTGTGGGTTTCTATTTGAGATTCTCACTTCTCACTGTAGCTTTCTTAGCCTGTGAATCATGGTTTGGTGGCTTCTCTCACTGCTCTATCATAGACACATCACACACACACACACACACATCCCAATCACTTCAGTGCTGGGGAATATATAATTTACGGAATTTCTATAACAATGTACAAAAGATACTTCTATATTTTTGAAGAGTGTAACCATATCAAAGTTATTTGCATTGAGGGCCCCATATGCAAACCACCATGCACATGTGTAGACCTCATTCACATAAGAAGTCCTGTTGATTTCATAGTAAATATGTCCTTTTAGCATAATGTGCATGATGGCTTTAAAACAAAACATTATATAGTACAGCATTTCCTCCTGAAACTGCACAAAGGATTGTGGGACATAAAGATCACAGGATAAAGGATTGGGTGTTTGGGGAACATTGGGAGAAAGAAAAAGAGAGTGGTTCAGATTTTAAACGTGAGAATCTATTGTGGCATACATAGGGCAAATGACAGAAAACATTATGCTGACTGAATACTTGTTGCTAAGGAAACTCACATCATGCCTATTTTCAAAGTTTTCCAGAGGAAAAAGAAAATCCAGTTGGGTAATAAAGTTGCATTTCCTTAGGTTGGAAATTAAACCCAAGGGTCTTCTGAGAAGTGGACAGATGGACTTAGTACTGTAGCTTAGAGGCTCACTGGGAATGAAGACAAGTCAACCTTCGGAAGTCTATCCGTTGAATGGGGAAAGTGGGGAAGCTTCTCTATAATTCCCCAGACTTAAATTCATTTCAGTGAGAATTAAGCACTTAAATACCTCTAAGAATATGGATCTTAATTATTTTAGAACCTCCAAAAGAAAAATACAAATCAATGAGGCTCAGTGAGGGGAGGAGAAGCATTGATTAGGAACAATCCGTATTGTTTGGGAAAAGAGTCCATTTTGTGGTTCAATTTGTAACTGGTTTTAAAGTAAAGTTTGTAACTTTAAAAAAGCACCCAATTGGCTCTTTTTCTAAGAGCTTTTCTGTGTGGACATTTTTCACAACTGTTACTTGCTTCTGCTATTATGATAACGGAAGAAACATTTCTTCATTGCTTTTTGTGGCATTATTTTCCTAATACGTACTCTTTTTGGTTTCCAGTATAAAGAGGTCACTTTTTCTCCCCTTCCTCCTCCCTCTCTTGTGCATGAATCTTGGGTTTCGTATCTTTCCTTTTCTCTGATGCTGTTGGTGATGGCATGCCCTTGCCAGCTAAGAGAGTAAAGAAGATTGTACAGAAAGTTCTAGTGTATAATCTCCTCAATTCTTTATTGAATTATTTTTAAAAAGCCAAAACAATCTGTACAGCATTATTGGATATTTTCTTTGCTTTCTGTCATTCCAGGGGTGAGTTATATGTCCTTTGTCTATATCTACTTCAATAGTTTGGATTTCTATTGCAATGTTTCAGTCAAATGGCAGCATACACGGAAGGACCTCCATCTCACATCCAATAAATGAACTACAGAAAGAGGGACAGAGATCTCTCAAAATCGTATAGGTAGGTACAGTAAATATCTTTTCTTCTGTATGCTATGTTTAATCATTGCATTTTTTCTTTAAGCAGAAATGTATTTTACAAGTTTAATGTAAAAGTATTTTATAAGTTTGTTTGTTAGTGTGTGAATATTGTAGTCACAGTCACTCATGAATCTACACCATGAAGGATCATAGAAATATAAAGCTGTAAAGGACCTCAAGAACTCACCAAGTCCTGCCCCTTGTGCTGAGGTAGAATTAAATAAACCTTGACAATCCCTGACAAATGTTTGTCTAATTGTTCTTAAAAAGAGTGGGGATTCCACAACCTCCCTTGGAAACCTATTCTGGAATTTAACTTCTCTTATAGTTAGACAAGATTTTCCAATATCTAACCCAAATCTCCCTTGCTGCAGATTGAGCCTGTTACTTCTTGTCCTGTGTTCAGCAGATATGTAAAACAATTGATCATCATCCTCTTTATAACAGTCCCATAACATAGTTGTTATTAGACCCCCTTCTGTTTTCTTTTCTCAAGACTAAACATACCCTGGGTTATTTTTATCTTTTTTCAACAGTCAGGTTTTCCAAACCTTTCTTATCATTTTTGTTGGGCCTCTCTCCTCTTTTCTGTATGGGTGCATCTATACTATACCATATTTTCAAAATAACTAGTGTTATTTTGAAATAACAATGCAAGTGTCTACAAGGCCATTGATGGAGCCATGTAAAATAGTTTATTTGGCATAGTCAAATAAATAATCCCCGCTTCATTAAAATAAAAATGGCCACTGCACTGTGCCGACGATCAGGTGATCCGACACAGAATGGCAGTCTAGATGCGGCACGGTCGACAAGGGAAGCCTTTGTCGACCGCTCCGGTAAACCTTGTTTCATGAGGCATACTGGAGTGGCGACTGGGCCGCGTCTAGACTCCCGCGCTGTGCCAGATCAGCTGATTGTCAGCACAGCATGGCGGCCATTTTTATTTTAATGAAGCGGGAATTATTTAAACTCCTGCTTCTTTGACTATGCCTAATAAACTATTTTACATGGCTCTGTTGACGGAGCCATGTAGTCTAGACGTAGCCCTGGAGACCTACTATAGGGAAGGTTGCTGATTCTCTGCCCCACTGCAGCCTCTGCCCCATGGGCTTTTTCCTTGATGATGCTGCAGGTGGCCACATTCTTTATCCTCTAGGATCTCGTAGTTGCAGTTTATGTGACACGCTTAACAGAAGAGTCCAGCAAATGCCTATGATCAAGCACTACTAAAAGCTAATTATCAGTGGGTCCAATTGGGGCTCTGGGGGAGCTGATTTTGAGATATAACCAATCCCGTGATTTAAGTTAGGAAATCAGAAGTATCTGTGCAAAATTTGGTGTTTCCAGCTCTTACCATTTCAGAGATCTTTTGGAAATATCAGTGGGCCCAATTGGGGCTCTGGGGGAACCGGGAGAACCGATTTCGAGATATAACCAATCCAGTTATTTAAGTTAAGAAATCAGTAGTATCCGTGCAAAATTTGGTGTTTCTAGCTCCTACCGTTTCAGAGATCTTTCGGGACAAACAAACAAACAAACAAACAAACAAACACACTTTTGGAAATATTTATAAGAATAGTATAATAATAATATTATAATTATGAATGTATGACACATCAATACTCAGATTTATTACACAAATCTTTTTGTCAATCACAGTTATGAAAGAATCTAGTTTCTGGATTCCTGCCTAACACAATCTGCTACCTCCTTTGCTGAAACAAAATATAGCTGTTTTGATGATTTCCTGAAAGCCCACAACCTTAACAAATGCATCTTTGGCTTCTTCTGTATTGTGCCAAATGAAGTGTTTGTGTACCTTTATGTTATAGTTCAAAACACCCGTCTCCCAAAAGTTTAGCCAAATGACAAGACATTTAGTGAAAAGAAGGATTTGAGATTTGCTTCACGTCTCACATAATACCACTGGCCATGATATACCCAGGGTCAGAAAGGAAGGAAACACAAGCCCCGCCCTGAAGAGCTGTAATATATATAACATATATATTATGGAGTAGATCCAATTTCCTTCCATCTTCATGGGCACCGCAATCTGCAGCAGTGGTGAAGTCCACAATAAGGCAAGCCAGTGCAGCAACAAAAAACAAACCTGCAGTGAAGCCGTAATATATATAGGAATCTTCTAGAGGTGAGACTAGCCAGAGGATCTGCAACTACATAGACTAAGTAGAGAAACCCACATACGAGAGGGCTGTCACTCACAGGAACTAGTGCAACCCTGAAGCTGCAGTAGTGGTCACAGAATAGACTCTTCTGTTGTTCTTCCTCCTATGGCAGATATTTGTCTGCCCTTTGTTCTTAATATAGAACCTATTTATTAGGCTGCACACAGATTCTAAGGTTATGGTCTAATGTCATAAAGCATTTATCTTTCTATACATAGGACTTCATGTTCTCATTTCCTGTGTCTCCTGCTAAAAGTTATTTCTGTAAGAGCTGGCACTTGCAATTCTGGTCACGGTGTTCTGGCTCTTCAGGTGTCTATACATCTTATGAGAAGGCTGCAATTTTCTCAGTGGAGCATATTATGCTGTCTCATGCTATGTTATGTATTTTCAGTTGGATGGCTGTAACAGTGGTGGGCAGATATGCTTATTTTGCATGAAAAACATCACTAGTGGATGCTTGCAAGGATGGTGCATAGATTTTTAATAATGCTGTAAAAATGTACATTGGCATGCACTGAAGGACACAGGTACCATTTTTTTGTTGTCTCAAGTCGTAGAGGTTTGTGAAATTCAAAACGTGGTGTTTCTACTTTTGTTTTTCCTCCCTGTGAATTCTAAAAAGGTTTGAACATGAAAAGCAACCACCAGGGGTCATCTGACTCCAACCACAGAAGTACAGTTGATGCAGATAATCATGTTTTGTCATAGCAACCCAGATTTGCAGAAGTTGCCTTTAGTACAGTAGTACTTTAAAACTATAAGCACACACTCCAAATTGAGACTGAGATATTGCAACATTATAGTGACATGTTTTCTAATTACTGTTTGGCAACTTTAAAAAATTGACATCCAAACAACTATTGCTAATCCCTGCTGGTATGAACATTTTAAAGCTAACACACAATGTTACAGAAGTGGCAATAATTAGAATAGAAAAGAACTTGTACTGCTTCCTTTCCAGTGCTATGTTCTAAATTGTAGTTCCTTAGAGAAAAAAAAAACCCTTATGCAAAACATTTTACTTGCTCATAAATCACTGGAAAAATCTTGAGATAATTTGATTTTGAGCTACAAATATATTTTTAAGCTCTAAGATACAAAGCCAACCAGTATAGTCAATATTTACCAGCAATTTTTTCTCTAAGGTCCCATGGTGAGTGCCGATGGTAGATATAATAAAATAATTGGTGCTTTGGATATGTTGAAGTAACAGTGAAAGTAAGTATTGACTTTTTAAATAGTAGCCAGTATGTACAAAGAGCTCAGATACTACCCTGATAGGCACACTAAAAACATGTTAATAGCTCAAATCTTTACCAAAAATTGAACTCTCTGAGAAATATCACATTGTTAAATGTCCCACGGCAACTGAAACCTGCTGGTACAAAACATCAAAAGATATTTCCTCTTTTCCACAAATGAGGAAATTGTGAAATAGTCTTTTGACTGTGAAAATGTATATTATTTATCACCTAAGGAAACCACCTAAAAGATTAGTGATACAATAGATAGAGGAACCACTTATCATACTGCATGCTAACACTGCTTTGATGTAAAAAGAAAACCAGGTCAGGTTTTACACTGTAAGATCCTTGAGGCAAATTCAAGTACAAATGCTTCACCCACGAGGACCCAGGAGGAAGCTGAGAGGGGTAAAACCAGACTGAGACACCATGCATACAATATCTAGCTACTGTTGTGTATGTGAAGGAATACTGGATCCAGCCTACTTGCTTGCTCCAATACTATGTGGTCCTGGGGTTCTGTGACCTGCCCATCCCACATGTTACTTTCCAACAAATCAAGATCTCATCTTTCCAGTGAGCTGTAGAGACCTAACATGCCTGCATGTGTTAACAGTCCACCAGGACTAGGGTCACTGGATACCCTGATTGTAAAAAGACAGTCCTGTATTTAAATCCTCCTTCAGGTGTCCCGTCTGTCTTAAAAATGGACAAACTCTCCTTTATTTTCTGTTTTCTTCCTCCCCATCAATAGTGGTGGGTCCTACTGCAGGCCAGATGTCTATTCACCAGGCACATGCCAACCAGTAGAGTCCTGCACAGACATAAAATTGGTATCTGTGTCCACATCTTCATCTGCAAAAATGACCTGCAGATATACAGTAGTTATCCAAACATTTGTAGGGTTCTAAATACAAAATTTGCATCCACATCCGTACCTGCAAAAATGAGCCACAGATATCCGTATCTACAGCCACAGACGTGGATTCCCACAGATACAAAGCAGATATCTGTGGATTTGCAGGACTGTACCAACCAGCACTGCATGGGAGGGGTCTAGTGGCCGACAATGGGAGGGGGTGTGACAGAACAAAGATGCAGCATGCAGGGCTAGCCACTCTTCCTGCTGGTTCATCAGTGTAGTCCCTGCTCTCTGCCTCCCATCCCATTTCCAGACAGCACTGGCTGCACACTGTGACCTGCAGTGGTTAGTGAGTGCTGGTCGGTGGCAGGCAGTGGCCAGTGATGTCTCTTCCTCTGCCCATCCATAAGCCCTTTACATGCTTCCCCTCTTGCTTTCCTCTCCCTGCTGTGCCCTTCCCTCCTGCACCTTCATATCCCCCCAGGCAGGGAACATCCCACTCCCAGCGCTGTGTGGAGAACCAGCCCCTGGGGCTGAAGTGTTCAGCTCACCAACAGCCTGGCTGGCAGGCTCCTTCCTTTCCCTCACTGCCTCTGGCTGGGCCAGCTCTTCAGAAAAGCCCAAGGCCCTCTGGCCCAGGGTGCCAAAACCTGAGACAGCCCTTCACGTGCCAAGACCCCACACAGCACTGCATGTGCCGGCACTGGGAAGCCTCTTTACGCGTTAGCTAAGCCCTGAAGTGGCGGAGATGGAGGAAGCAAATTTCAGCCTGTACATGACCCAACCCTGCAGGCTCCACAACAATGCCTCAGGGCAGGGCTTTAGTGCTCTCTTCACCCTTCCCTTCCCCGGCCTGGGTCCTGCTTCCAGGGCTCATGGGACTGTGCTGTTCCCTAGACACCCTCCCCTGCGGAGCCACCTTTCTGGCTGGATTCACTGAAGTCCCTACAATCAGGATCCTTGCTGCACAAAGCATCCTTAGGGCTTAACCCCTTCCTGCAAGTGCTGTAGCTAGGGGACTGGAGGTGGCTGGGTTATGTCAGGAATACACAGCACCAGGTACCAGGAAAGGAGAGGCAGGTCAGTCCCAGGCATGAAAGGCAGAAAGCACTAGGCAGGGAGAGTCTGGCTCATCGATCGCCACCTGCCCTTCCCCCGCATATGAGAGAGAGGTATAGGTATGTATGTCACCCCTCCCTGTGTGAACCCTAAAGCCTTAAAGATAAGTCAGTAAATAAAAAGAATCCAACTACACCGTATTTTTTTTAACGAGCCAGTCAACTTGATGTTAATTTAAATGTTTACACTGCCTAGTTCTGATTTTTTGCCACTGAACTTGCTTGAATATGAATAATTTTAACAGGTGTCCAGCATTCATCATAGGGAAATATGGTCACCCTACCCAGGACTGCAAAGATGCCTCCGTTTATGCAGCAGAATGAAAATTTTCACTTTGCTTTTCGTCCTTTCAAAGATGTGTAAATACTTCTGAATTTGGCCCTGTGTAAAAACACAATGAATTGTATTAGATAAATGTGAACCTTTTAGAGCAGTGTTTCTTAAACATTTTAAGACTGAGGAACACCAAACAAGCATTTTTTGTTGAGCAAAAAATGATACTTCTTTTTTTAGCACCTGAGAACAAATATTGAACATCTGTAGCTCACAGTATATATGATTTATTATAGACATCTATCAGGGATGATCTAGATGGTGCTTAATCCTGCTGTGAGGGCAAGAGACTGGACTTGATGACCTCTTGAGATACCTTCCAGTTCTAGTATTCTATGATTCTATCCCTAAGCAAAACTCTGCTCTCAGTCACATTTAACATTTGTGACTTTGATGGAGCAAAATGTGATTAACTGTAGAACCTGGCTCTTAAATTTATGTCATAAATAGCAGGATTCTAAGAATGACTTGCATCTTTTTTATGTTCACTAAGTATTTAGATACTCTAAAATAAAAATCTGAGCTGTTAATACAAAAGGCTCAGAAGGGTCTTACTTAAATAATTTGACCAACGAGCAGATCTTTTTTGCCGTGTCTTTGATATATGACAAATGAAGTAATCTGAGCGCACACACACACACATACCGTGGAGCCAGAACCGAATGTTCAGACTGCTTTAATCTTTAATGACATTGATGTCTTTTTTTCTAGAGTCCAAAAAGGAGATTATTCAGGACCATGTTTGAAGAGACTACAATCTCACTGACTACACCTGGGAATGTCTCTTTGCCCCCTGACATTGCACGTTTCATACTGATTACAGTATACATGCTAGCATTTATTGGAGGTACAACTGGAGCCATCACAATGTCATTTTTGTTGGTTAAAATGAACACACTGTCAGTGACCACCACGGCGATTGTAAACCTTGTAGTGGTGCACAGCCTGCTTCTCCTGACAATGCCGTTTCGGATTTATTACTATATCAGCCAGCGGTGGATTTTCGGGCTGCCCTTTTGTAAAATGGTGAGTGCTATGCTGCACATCCACATGTACCTCACTTTTCTGTTCTACGTGATCACGCTCATTATCCGGTGGCTCATTTTCTTTCAATGGAAGGACAAGGTGGAGTTCTACAGGAAGCTGCATGCTGTGGCTGCTAGTGCGGCCGTGTGGCTAGCAGTCCTTGTGGTTGTGCTGCCCTTGTTCATTGTTCGGTATGGGAGCTCTGGGGAGTACGCAAATGCCACATGTTTTAAGTTCCAAAAAGAACTAAAGAGGGAGAGTGTGAAAGCCTTGAACTACATAATCATCACTGCTGTAGCTACCGTCACATGTGTCCTTCTGGGCTTGCAAGTCTTCATCATTTTCAAAGTAGTGAAGAAGCTTCCAGGCTCTGTCTGGTCACATCAAGAATTCTGGGCCCAGATGAAAAGCTTGATGTTCATATCTGTGATCATCATTTGTTTCCTTCCATATCAATTTTTTAGGATCTTTTACATAAAGCACGTGAATGAAGATCCCCAATTAGAAAATTACAATGAAATCTGTCTGAGCGTCACTGCCATCAGCTGTCTTGATTTACTCTCGTTTGTTATAAGCGGAAGCCGTTTCTTTAAGCAAAAGATTATTATGCTTCGAGACACGCTTGCATGCTGTTAGGTTCATTCATCTTTTGAGACCATCTTCCACACGACAGAGATTAGGTGGGTGGAAAACAGATGGCTATGTCTGGATTTTTTTCCCTAAATGATAATTTGTGGAGACAAGTCAAAAAGCCTTATAAATTATGTGTATTTATTTTATATGCCTTACACACGATACCAGCAAAGTAACATATATTCTTTGAGGAGGTGAAATACTTGCCAGTCTTCCCAGCATCAGCCTAGCAGTCTGATGACTTCTATGCTGTACCATACTGGAGACCAAGGCTTCAGTCCCATACCACAGAGGAAAAAGAAACTATAGCCCAAGATGGTCTGTGAAGAATGTGGAGAGAAAAACAAAACAAAACACAAAATCAATGAATAGTCATTTAAATCATAAAATACATAGTGCCTAGAGCTGCATATGTTATGTATACCGTTTATGTGTAATAAATTAACAACGATTGGGATAGAATGTGGTGTTTCTGCAGGTCTTAGTTGAGGAATTTTGGGCCAACACTGCAATGCGACTTTCAAGTTCCATTGATCAACTCATAAAAAGGAAGCAGAAAATGTATCTTTTAAATCTCCTTCCCTCCTCTTCCGCCCCCCGCCCCCCCCAGCCCTGAACTCACTCTTTTGAAAATGGTTTTATGGTAGGAGGGAAAGTTATGATGTATCTCTTTCCTATGCTGCAAAAATATCTGCATAAATAATTACATATCACTGGGCATTATATTCAGCTCTGGCAGTCTGAATCAAAAGCCGGTGTTTATTCTCTTTCTTCACAGAATTGTAGTTAATGCTACAGATAATTTAACTTAGATTATTATTTGCACAGCAGTTGTGTTGTTCTTCAACGTCATTTATTTTAGTCTCCAAGGTAACAACAATTTCTTTTTCTATGATTCAGTTTTGAAGGCCATAGTCTGGCCACTCAGAATGTCCCTGGGATAAAATTAATTCTGCAGAATTTTGTGATCTGGGCAATTAAAAAAATATAAAAACACCGGCTGGGATATGCGCTGTGATTGAGCAGGCAGTTATGTTTCACAGTTATTGATGCATGATGAGCTGCTACTCCTACTCCTTGTAAGGAGTAAGAGAAGTTGATGGGAGCATTTCTCCTGTTGACCTCCTTTTGTGGGCATGGCACCAAAGTTTGAATCAAGGTATGTCAATTCCAGCTATGCAATTAACGTAGCTAGAGTTGCACATCTTAATTAGAGTTTATCCCCTAGAGTAGACCTGGCCTAATGAAAAATGTAAAAAAACCCACACAAAATACCTCTTTGTGGAAGATACTTGAGCCCACACACCTATTGTATTGTAAATATCCCAATAAAGAGCATATATCATTTATAGCAATAGATCAGAATAGTGGGTGAATAATTTTTATTTCCATTTCTTCATCCTCTGCAAGTTTAAACATTCCATCAAGAGTCAGTTGAATCATTTGACAGATTCAATAGCATTAGCTGGTAAATTATCTGATTAATTCCTTTTCATGGATCTGCCCATGTCCCAACCTCAACACTGCGTAACCTCATTCTTTCATATATCTCACCTATCGTTTCCTTTTGCTTCATTGTCTATATGCCAAGACTCTATATGCTTTGTGTTGATGTCGTCTATTCACCTCTCTGTGCTTTCTTCCCTCATGTTTAGAACTCCCTCCTTAGCACTCAGTAAGTCTGACCAGGTTATAGTATCCTGAATGGAGAAAGACTGAGTAATTCTCATGTGCAACCTCTAGAATTTGGAATCATCAACAAAGACTATAACACCACGGAGAGAAGATGAAAATGAAATTGTGTTGTATTTTTTTAATGTCATCTTTGGTGTGCAGAATATACTTTGTATGGGGTCTCTAGCGCAACTTATACCTTTACAACACTATATAAATGTTAATAACAAGAGTAAATGTCTTATGAGCCAAGCCACCATATTCTTTCATTCATGTCTTTCCTACAAATGTCTAAATTAAATAAAAATGGGTTTATATTTAAATTTTGTACAATGTTATTCTCAGACCAGAGTTCTGTACATTAAATGTTGATGCTTGAAGTAAATATTCTGCTCACAGATTTTTTTAAAAATCGTATGTAACGTAAGTATTTCTTTTAACATGGGGTAGATACTGGCTTCTCTCCTCCTGTTGCAGTTCCTGAGATTCACCCAAAGTGGGCAGAAGGGTCAAAATCTTTTTATGCCAGGTTATGTTACTTGTTGGTATTCAGACTGACTCCCTCCCCCCCAAAAAAACCCCCAAACCCAACCCTCCCCTCCAAAACCCCCCACCAGTTATAACAGATACTGGAAATAATATGAAAAGGAATTCTGTAAGCAAGTCTTAGGGTATGTCTACACTACAAAGTTAGTTCGAACTAACGGACGTTAGTTCGAACTAACTTTAATAGGTGCTACACTAGCGCTCCGCTAGTTCGAATTTGAATCGAACTAGCGGAGCGCTTAGTTCGAACTAGGTAAACCTCATTTTACGAGGACTAACGCCTAGTTCGAACTAGCTAGTTCGAACTAAGGGCTGTGTAGCCCTTTAGTTCGAACTAGTGGGAGCCTAAGGCTTCCCAGGTTTCCCTGGTGGCCACTCTGGCCAACACCAGGGAAACTCTATGCCCCCCTCCCGGCCCCGGACCCCTTAAAGGGGCACGGGCTGGCTACGGTGCCCGTGCCAGGTGCAAGCCTGCCAGCACCCAGCTCTAGTGTGGACATCGTGGACCTCGTCCACGATCTCCGCACTAGGCACAGGAAAGTGGCCGTCTAGGGCAGGAGAGCTGCCAGCCTGGCCACCCAGGACCAGGTGTGCATGAAAATCAAGGGGGTCCACTGAGACCCCCGACACTGAGCCCTGAGCTTACAATGGCCGTCCTGGGTCAGACCAAAGGTCCATCTAGCCCAGTAGCCTGTCTGCCGACAGCGGCCAACCCTAGGGACCCTGGCGGGGATGGACCGAAGACAGTGACCAAGCCATTTGTCTCGTGCCATCCCTCTCCAGCCTTCCACAAACTTTGGGCAGGGACACCACTCCTACCCTCTGGCTAATAGGACTCCATGGACCCAACCTCCATCACTTTATCTCACTTCCCTTTAAACTCTGTTCTAGTTGTAGCCTTCACAGCCTCCTGCAGCAAGGAGTTCCACAGGTTAACTATTTGCTTTGTCAAGAACAACAACTTTCTCTTACTAGTTTCAAGCCTGCTACCCATTCCTTTCCTTTGGTGTCCTCTAGTCCTTCTTTATGGGAACTCAGGAAGAACTTTTCTGAATGCACCCTCTCCACCCAACCCCTGCTTTTAGAGACCTCTATCCTGTCCCCCCTCCGTCTCCTCTTTTCTAAGCTGAACAGTCCCAGTCTCTGTAGCCTTTCTTCATCTGGGACCTGTTCCCAACCCCTGATCATGTTAGTTGCCCTCTCTTCTCCCAGCCTTTCTCTTCCCCTCTCCCACCTCCTTTTCCCAGTCTCCCCCAGTTTTTTTCAATAAAGACAGAGTCAATGTTGGAAGAAACGTTATCTTTATTTTGTACATCAATAAGAAGGGGGGCTAGGGAAGGGTAAGTGGAAGGAGGTGAGGGAGGAATGGGGTACGAGCCCCCGATGGGGAGGACTGGGCTGGCTCTGCGGGCTTCTGGGGGTGGAAGCTCTCCTGCAGCCCCCCAATTACTCCCTCTCCCCAGATGGCAGCCTGCGGCAAGTGCAGCCGGGCTGATGGCCGAGTGGTGTGATGTGCCCAGTGTGGGCACTCAGGGCACTCCAAGCCAGAACTTCTTTGCAAGCGGGGCACCCCTTAGAACTGTGTGTCCGGGGTGGGGGTCGGGACCCTTTAAGCGCAGCCCTCGGCTAGCCTGAGACAGCATCTCCATGCTCTAAGTCCTCCTTTTATGCCCTGCCGGCACTGCTTCCGGCCATCCTTAAGCCCTGTTCAGAGTCCACTCAATGTGGACTTACTAGTTCGAACTAGCAAAACGCTAGTTCGAACTAGTTTTTAGTTCTAGACGCGTTAGTTCGAATTAGCGCTGTAGTGTAGACGTACCCTCAGTAATGCTTCCGGCCATCCTTAAGCCCTGTCCAGAGTCCACTCAATGTGGACTTACTAGTTCGAACTAGCAAAACGCTAGTTCGAACTAGTTTTTAGTTCTAGATGCGTTAGTTCGAACTAGCTTAGTTCGAATTAACTAATTCGAACTAAGTTAGTTCGAACTAGCGCTGTAGTGTAGACGTACCCTTAGATATTAGTCCAAATCTGAACAGTTTGTCTTGTTTTTTTTTTAATAATTTGGT